TTTCACATAGTTCTTGGGAGACAGCAGGAGAGGAATCCTCTGGGTTTGTGTCTCTGGTTTATATAGCCAAGGGATAAAGGGTTGGGAAAACTGTGAAGGAGGCAGCACTCCATGAAATTTTGGGGTGCCCATAACTGGCTTTGCCAGAGCTCTTGAGAGGCAGCAGGAGAGGAATCATCTAGGTTTGTGTCTCTGGTTTATATGGCCCAGGAGTGAAGACCTGTGGGGGAGGCAGCACCCCATGAATTTTGGTGTGCCAGAAAACCAGCCCTGGCAGAGTAATTGCAAGGCAGAAGAGGGAAAAGCTGTTTTCTCATCTGTAGTTTCCCCTACCACCAAGTGCACCTGCAGAGGGCTGGAGAAGCTGGAGGAGAAGTTGGTGGAAAATACACCTGCAAAGGGCTAGAGAAGCTGGAGGAGAAGTTGGTGGAAAAGCAGCACCCCATGAGTTTTGGGGTACCCCAAAACTGGCTCTTGCAAAGCTCCTGCAAGGCAGCAGGAGAGGAATGATATGGTTTTAATCTGCAGTTTATATCACCAAGGAATAAAGGGCTGGAGAAGCTGGAAGAGAAGCTGGGGGGAGGGGGAAGGACCTGATGAATTTTAGTGTATCCCAAAACCTAGGAGAGCTACAAGGCTCTCACCAGAGAGAAAAGCTGCTCCCTCGTTTCTAAAAACTACACCTGCAAAGGGCTGGAGAACCTGGAGGAGAATCTGGAAGAAGCAGCACCCCTTGGGGGTTGGAGTACACCAAAACCTGGCCCTAGCTGAGCTCCTGCAAGGCAGCAGGGTATTAACCCATCTCCTTTCACATCTCCAGTTTCCACTGCCAATGAATTTGCCTGCAAAGGGCTGGACAAGCTGGAGGAGAAGTTGCCCATCCTGCAGCAACCCCCTGAGAAGGTACTGGGTGGGCTGTGGTGGGCAAACAGACTCAGGGTCCCCCCCAAGCAGTGTTTAACAGATATTTGTGTGTCCTCCCCAGCTCATCTCAGACACCAAGCTGCTGGTGACCTCCACAGTGACAGGGGCCAAGGACGTGCTGACCAGCACTGTGTCCGGGGCCAAGGACGCAGTGACCAACACTGTGGTCGGGGCCAAGGACGTAGTGACCAGCAAGGTGACCGGTGTGATGGACATGACCAAAGGGGCTGTGCAGGGCAGTGTGGAGCTGACCAGGTCTGCAGTCAGCAGTGGAGTCAACACTGTCATGGGCTCCACCGTGGGCCAGCTGGTGGCCAGTGGGATGGGCTCTGTGCTGGAGAAGTCCGAGGAGCTGGTGGACCATTACCTGCCCATGACGGATGAGGAGTTGGGTGAGGAGCTGATCCCAACCCCCTGGAGATGTGTTGAGGGTTGGGGAGGTCACCATGGAGAGGGGTGGGCAGAGCATGAGGGAGGCTCTCTGGGAGGGTGATGGTGGTGGTGGTGGGACCACCTGAGCAGCTCCTGTCCCACAGCCAAGGTGGAAGGCTTAGAGCCGGAGCAGCAGAAGCAGCAGCAGAACTACTTCGTGCGCTTGGGCTCCCTCTCCACCAAACTGCGGCACCGAGCGCTCCAGCACTCCCTGGGCAAGCT